GCCTGTTCTTACCTGTTTGCGCGCCTGGACGAGCCCCTGCAGGCGCAGCTGCAGCTCGCTCCTGTAGTTCTGCGCCGCCTCGATGCTCTCCTTCGCCTCCTGCAGCAGCGCCTCCACCTCGATCGACATCCTGCCGGCCGCCTGCCTGCAAAACACAAGCACCGCCATGACGCCGGTCAGGCTCCGTCACAGAGCACCTCGCTCCCACGCCTGCATCCCGACCCACCCGAGCCCTGTCCCACCGGCCTGCAGGGCCCCCCACAGGCTCCGCCTCCAGATCCTCCCACACCTGTCCGCTGCCTCTGCACTGCTGCTGCCGGCCACGCTGGACCCCTTCCTACACGAGCGCGTTGGCTAAATCACCGTAAAGAGTAGCCCAGTAAACTCTGAAGAGGGGCCCTTCTCAAACTTGGGGAGTTTCAGAAACAAGATCTCCATTGCCATTTATTAAATCGGTGAATAAGCGTGTTTCAGACACAAGGTGCACATAACACAACTGTGTCGTCTACACTGCTGCATTGTATTAAAGTGCAGCCAGCAGCTCTTTCACCCTGCCACTCAGCACAGGCAGCCCACTGGAGCCCAGCAGGTGTGAGCCTGGCCAGGACCTGGAGGGGGGACTCCTGGGAGAGCTCAGGCTTCTGCTGGAAGAGGTGTTTTTGGAACCAGTAGGGGGCGCTCACCCTGCAGTCTGTGTGGGTCCTAATGCCCCAGTATAGTGATGAGGACACAATACTGAAAAAAAAACAATCCCAGGGCGTCTCTAGAAAAGAGTAGGGGTGTTACCCCGGCGTCCTGGCCAAACCTCCCCCCCACCTTTACCCATCATGGCCTCCTAATAACCCCCCTCTCTGAACTGGCTCCATCACTCTGCTCTCCTCCCCACTGAGAGCTGGTGTGTGGGGAGCGGACTGGCGCATCATCCAGGTGGGGCTGCACACTGGTGCTGGTGGAGGGGATCCCCATTACCTGTAAAGCACTTTGAGTGGAGGGTCCAGAATGATGATGATTATTAATAACAATATTATGGCGGATGGGCTGTTGCCCATTAGGGCAGACCCAGGCCCCCACTCTACTGTCTCAGGAAGGCTGTGGGGGATCCCCAGCTACCCCCAACCCCTGTAGAGACAGAGACTACTATATTACTTTAACTCCCTGACTGTCTGTGGCTGTCGACGATCTCTACAGCTCAGAGTGAGATTACTGGCCGAAGACAGAACTGCCAAAAAGCTGAAGCATTTCAGGTGCTGAATTATTCCGTTTTCATCTGTACCAAATACCATCGTGTTATACTTATACTGAGGCTTGCCTGAGGCTGGTCCCTGTTTTATCATGACAACCACCTGACTTGGGCGAGCA